GCAAACCATACCAAATTCAAATTGCATCACTTGGCATGCTTCACTTTCACAAAAGGGAGTAGTGCCCATTGACATATGGGCAGATCTCAATGGTACCAACCGAATCATAACACCAACCCGATAATATTGAATTAAATTCAGTTTTTCATTTCATTGATAATATGATGCTAATACAATCAAAACTTTAAAATTACAAACTAAAACTCCTCTATGAGGTTGAAATTTGACTTGTATAAAGGTCTGTAAAAAATCCTCTTTGTAATTTATTTCTCTCTCGCACCCCAGACCCATGCAATTAAAAATGTAACCATTTCGAGCCACAAAACAAATTAGACAATCCAGAAAAAAAATAAGAGTCATTCGAGAGTGACCTATCGTAATATTATCGTCAAATTTACCTCTATAAACACATGCATTTTTAAAACATTAATGAAACCAGTTAGTAGATTTTAGCTCTATGAAACTGCAGGACCTAAAACAGCGTGACAAGCTTTGAGTTGCCCTCCACGCAAATATTAATTTTTCATGGTTGCTAATTGCATTAGTGTACATTACAAAATTAAGCATATGCATGTTATAATATGTTGGAGGTGGATTGTCTGCCCTCTTATTTCCATACTCTTTCTATCATTTTATGTTTGTGTGGTCACGGTTAAGTTACGTCAACATTTTATATTAATTTTTTTATAAAAATAATAAAACAAAAAGTAATAAGAATATAAAATATTGATGTGACTTAACCGTGACCACATAAAACAATAAGGAATGAGAAGAATATGAAAATAAGAGAGCAAACAATCCACCTCCATAGTATGTTACCTAATGAGAAAAAGTAAGTTTAAAATGGCGCCAAATAATGAGTCATGCCAAGGATTGAAGATTTTGGTCGACCAAAATCTAAAGGGTTTTCAAGTAGGACCCACCCCAGATGCAATGCTTCCTTTTCTTGTTATATTATGCCCACCATCCCCACCTCACATCCCTCCTTATCCTTCTACTTTCAGTCTCCACTCTTCTGCTCTCTGCTGTTTTTGCTTCTTTCAACTAAACTAGCTACCTCTTTGTTTTGTCTCTCATCAGCTTCTACTTCACACTCATAAAATAGGGCTTCGTCCTTCTCTTTCAAGGAAAAATTGTGTTACCCTACACAACTAGGGTTACTGCCTACTGTTGGGGATTGTGTTCGTCCAACGAAGATCAGACACGCGGCAAGCATGAAGGAGAACGGCGGCAGCAGGAAACAAGGTGCACCCTCGCCCTGTGCAGCATGCAAGCTTCTCAGAAGGAGGTGCGCCCAGGATTGTGTGTTTGCTCCCTATTTTCCTGCGGATGAGCCCCAAAAGTTTGCTAATGTTCACAAAGTGTTTGGTGCCAGCAATGTCAACAAGATGTTGCAGGTAATTCCTACCACTAATCATGATCTCTCTAGTTTCTACTCTCTTCCTTCTCAAAGACATGGAAAGGGTAGGTTCGGAAAGTAAGTTAATTTGTTGTGTGAATATCAAGCTTATTATGCTGCGGAACTGCGAATTCGTACTACAAATTAAGAAATAGCAACTTTGACCAGTGATTTCAATTTCACAGATCGATAACATAAACATAAAATAAGCTCAACGACGAGAGAACATGCATGATATTTGTATAAATTACCATTATCCTTTGAAGGTAGTTTGCATATGTTGTCGATCTACACCAAAGTTTGCTTCCAAAACCCTTTCGGCCATACGGATAAATGTTCATATTGGTCAATTGGCAAGTGTTCATATTTGAAAAGCACTGCTAAGTGTTCACTCTCACTAGGGTGTTTTCAGATAGGCATTTTACTGTTCGGGTCCAAGAGGAGCCAAAATTGCTCAACGGTTAACAAGACTTTGGAATCTGATAAAAGGGGCAATGAAGTCAATTTATGGATACACAACACTCATTGCTTGCTGCACCAACACCAACTCACCTTTTTCACTTTCCATTGAGAAAAAAATAAAAATCTATTTTGTATTTTTCTACAAACTTCTTCTAAAGCTGTTTTACTTGATCACGTGAAGCTGTTTCTTGCTTCTTATTATTTTATTCATGTAAAAAAATAACAGAAATATATCATTTGGGGATCTACTTTTCTATTTTAAGTCCATGAAATGTGATAAAGAAAAGATGCCAAAATCCAATAAAAACAAAAGTTGGTTTTTTTTATTTTTTATTTGAGAAGTAATTTTTGGATCCTTGAATACTCTCTCTTTTCTGCTTGGGTGTTATCCTCCGTAGACAGGCCAAAGAGAATCTTTACTCGTAGAGTTTTAATTGGCGAGTCTGTATTTTTTTCGTCTAACATTTTATATTGAATAAATCGAAATAGAATTGGAATAGAAACAACGAGAAAAGTGCAAAATGAAAAAAATAAAAATGTAAAAATCACCATCTTCTATCTTTTTTTCTTTTCAGTTCTTTTTAGTGAGACATGATGCCTCATAGATATAGACAGGCAACCAATAAAGTGTCATAACTTAACCACGAGCTGGTTGCTCAGTGGTAAATGGTGAATTGCGAGACTTCTTTCAAATTAAAATTTTAAGATCTTGAGTTCGAAATCCGCTGCTGGTGTGAAAGCTAGACTTGTGATCAGGAGGAGGATGAAATGTCTAAGCAAGTTTTTCAGCCTCGGAATGGATAGATAATCATAGCTTGCCACCAGTTGTCTGTTAGTCTTTAAAAAATAAAAAATAATAAGTGTCATAACTTAATTTGGGGCCATTTATTATGTTCAGCCGAATGAATAAGAGCATGGCTGATGACGCATGATTTGGATTTTGCAAGGATCATAGAGTGGTGTGATCATTACATCAAGCCAAAACATGTCTTGTACGACCTTTGGCCTTTCATTCGGGACTAGGGTTACAAGTTTTGAAGGCTCTTTAAAAGGGTAACTTACTCAGTTGTACGGTATCCATGTCAGTCACTCACAGTGTGATTAGTTTGAAATATTGTCATCATGGTATCTCGGTTGCATGTAAGTTTTCATCATAACTAGCGCCAACTTTCCTTCGTGGTCAAAAGTTAAGATCAAGTTTAATTGTGATAATTGCAGGAGCTGCCAGAGCACCAAAGAGGAGATGCAGTAAGTAGCATGGTGTATGAAGCAAATGCCAGGGTGAGAGACCCAGTTTATGGTTGTGTTGGGGCAATTTCGTCTTTACAACAACAGATTGATGTGCTTCAAACCCAACTGGCTCTAGCTCAGGCAGAGGTGGTGCACCTCAGGGTGCGTCAGACTGCATCATTCTCTAGCCATGGGTTAAGTCCAGCTAGCCCAAGTAATAGTGGGTCACCCCCATCTAAGTTCATGGGTTCTCAGACCCGGCCCGTTTTCGACATGGATATGATGGTGGACCATACCAGCTTGGGATTGGGAGAGTCCATGTGGTCATGCTAAGCTTAATTAATTTCTAATGTTTACTCTACTATAATCTAGAGAGTAATTAGTTTTGGTATTCATGCCTAATATTTGCTTTACTACTTATGTAGTCCTTAAATGTACACCGGGGGTAAACCTAGTGACGGTTACAACAGTAAAAGCGGTGGCGGTGATGGTGACGATGACAGTGACCAAGGCGATTCGCCCGCTGAGTTTGAGATGGATTTTTCCATTAGTAACTAGATTGTAAATATTAGTTTAACTTATTTATATATATTGGGTAATCATATATTGGCTTGTGGGACTTTTTATATTTGCTCCAAGTGACTGGTTGACTTTGGATGTGTGAATCCACCAAACATATTGATGGTTTGGGGAATACAGTGGGAACGAAATTTGAAAGAGGATTGTAGTAGGATTTGCAGATTGTGGAGCAGTAATGTATGGAATATTATTGGTAATCATAGTAAAATTCCACCTATTTTTGCCTAAATATTTGACCATTTGCTGCATTTCTGTTTTGGAAAACGACTCTTTTATGCCGATGAGAGTCGGTTGAGTTAGTAAGGATCGTTCTTTTTTTTAGATCAAGGCCTAAGTTTAAGTCCCGCCACAAGTAATCACTCTTGATGGGTGATCTGTAAAAAAACAAAAAAGAGGCTGAGACCCCTTTGTAATTCTTCAAAAAAATTATAATATATGTTGTCCTGATCCTAAAATGGGATAACCTCTCCTCCCCGTAAACTTTTTCCACACCAGAGAAACGACTCTTTAATGTTTTCTGAAGTGCATGCATGTTTTATTTTTTGGTCCAATGGAGGGGATTGCTTTTTTCCGAATGAGGATCCTCTCTCCTTTTTTCCAATTGCTTGATGTGATTGATTTATTTGTGCGGTTTTGTCTAAGAATCCCCTTTTGACAAGTGAACGAAAATGCTTGAGTGGAGTACTTATAATTGTGTACATCATATTAGGACATAAACACTTATGCTTTATGCACATTTCTTCGACAAAATTATAGATGGAATCATTGTTGTTGGGAACTTCGGAATTGGGGGCTTCAAATATCACTCAAAGCATATAACCACAACCTTTTCTAGGATTTTTATATGAATTTTTCTACATTCAATATGCGTACTGACAAGCGTCACAAACTAACTGTTACGTGATAGACAATTACCTAACCAATGAAAATGACTATGTTTAGTCTTTTTTCTTGAAGATTTTGTATCATAAAAGTTCTTGAATTGTCTGCATATAACCACACCGTTGATTATCGAGGATTAATTGTGAATTGTTTACTCTACACACAATATTGAGGCTAAATGGCATCACCTTGTTGAAGTATGTTCATCCCTATATCATTTGCACAATTAATCTACAGATTTTCATGTAAATCATTATTACTTACCTACAAATTACAATCTACATGTTTGCAAAAGCAACTCACTAAAATAACAAAAAAATAAGTTTGTACACACACCCCAAACTGTGATTTGAAATGACTTCCAAGTATTTTCAAATGACAAATGAGTATCATACTACCATATGAGGGTACTACTAAACTATGCTTAGGTATAGCACAAATAGAAATAGAAATGTTAAGTGGGATCAGGTTCAAACACAAGCATTTGGTACATTAATTCCAAGTAATTTTACAAATTATACAAAGAAATTAAAAACAAATAAGAAAAAGAAGCTCAAACGTCCTTGGCAACAAGTTCACCATTCACTAACTCTCTGTAAGCAGCCACAGGCCAGCTGAAGCCTCTGAAAACCAAGCTAGTAGCCAAAGGCACATCAATGATGATCTCCTTCTGTGTCGGCTTCTTATCATCCCTAATGGCAATCAAGTAGCTCCTCCCAACCCACCCGATCCACCCAGCAATGTACAGGAACAAAATACCAGGCGTGATAAACTCACCCCAGTGCCTCTGGTCACCGCTGACAATCAAATGGGGGAGCCCATCCGACCCACAAAGCAAACCCTGCTTGCCATAGTTGGAAAACCTCCTCTGAGTCTTCTCTATGGTGGCCTTGATGGCTAGGGCGGGTGCACTGTCGGGTGCATAGAGCTTCAGTGAGGACTCGAGTTTTTTGATCTGCTGCTTCTCACGCTTGGCGAACTGCTTGGAGTCTTTGCATGGGGTGAGTCCCGAGATGTCAGCAACTGCAGGCATGGGGGCCGAGCCAATGAGGATGGAGGAGAGTGCGAGTGCAGTGGAGAAAGCCTGCATGGGCGATGCAGTCGATATTTTCTCTGGGGTAGGGTTAGGGTTTGGGGAGGCAGAGCAGAAGACCACGGTTCTTGGCAGCTTTGCGGCCAATGGGGAGCTAAGTTTTGGCTGAAACATGGGTTTTGAAAGGTTTGTGGGAATTGTGAGAGACATGGTTTTTTTCCTCTATTTTTGTTTAGGGTTTGTGAGGAGGAGCACAGAGGAAGGAGAACTTGGAAGTGAGTGTGGAGGGCAGGTTTTTAGAATCTTGGAGGAATAGAGACTGGTGGTGGAGGAGAGAGGAGGGAGAGTGGATAGGGTGGAGGGAGTAAGGAGGCTGAGTTGGATGATTGTAATTGGTTGGGGGTTGATTTAGATTTTCTCTCAATCTATCCTACTCTTAAAATCATATGCAGATAATGAGAAAGTCTACCATGACTTTATGACTTGTGTGGGTTTCAGTGCTTTCCATTAACTTGATCCAAATATTTATAAGGGAAAACACTCATATTCAAGATAAATTCTTGCAACCAAGATATAGTTAAAATGGCGTCGTTTATTTAATGCATGTAGGGTGCGTGCTAAAAGAGTGAACCACTCGTCTAATACAGTTGTCACGTAATAATTTGGATGAATAAATGCTTATCACATAATAAACGCTTGTCTCCATATTCAGATAATGGCACAAATATCACCAACATAAACAGATATAAGTCTCTTTTATTTCCTTTTTTGTCTTAAATATAAACAAGTTGAGAAAACCGGACCACATTTTTAACCTGTTCGAATTTACCAAACATCATAAAACAACCCCCAACTTATAACTTGGAAACTCCCTTTGTAAGTAATAACAATGCACAACGTATAAGCGTCTAACATCAACATCCATCCTCCGTTATCAGCCATCCGATATAGATACCGTCACATTACAAATATTTGTCAAAATTCTCTGAATGTAACAACATTTTTATCAGTGTAGAAGGAAGTTTATGTTCAGCATATCTACAGAACTGAGCAATGAAGAATGCTGATCGCTCCACTATGTGGCAAACTCTTGGTCATTTCGACTCATGCTTTGCAAACTCGCAGTGTTATTCCTGATTCTGGGCAAGGAATGGATTAGCCGGATCTCAAACTTCTAAACTACGCGTTCCTCTGGAGATTCGGATCACAACAGATCCTGGTAACCATGATATCATGCTTGAAGTTTTTCCCTATCACAATGGTGGGCTTGATGATGATTCAAAGAAACACATGTATTCCATGAGAAACGAATAATGGCATGCTATGGAGCATCCTTTACCGAACAATGAACTACGAAATTGGGGCCTGGAGATGACTTTTGAGTTGCTAAAAACCTGATCCTGACCCTCAAAGAAAAAACTCAGAGGCACAGACCAGCCTCAATCTTCAGTTTCATTATCGCATCACCATTTGGATTACCGGGTCACAAGCCAACCTGGTTTCACTAGGACATCTTGTTTAAAGTTGCGACCAGTGACTGATGTAGACTCACCCTGACGACGGAAACACTGCACAAGAAAGGATGTTAATTTAGAAAAACCTTATTACTAGCCATGATCAATTAACATAGGGTGACCATTAGATATAAATCTGCTTAAGAATTTATTTTTTTTTGCATTAAAGCTGAACATTTGAAACTGGAAGGTTGTACAATCTTGTTGCATGTAACAGGTCACCATACTGGTTCGCCTATATTTTCCTTTCTTAGTCGAGTATGGAGCGGTTCAAGCCATTGTCATGATATTTAAGAGTATTATCCGTTATAAATACCGAGGGAGAGGATCTAGATAATAGTTCATACTCACACAAATTGCATGTATTTTCCTGTGTCTCAACAGCGAACCATATGAGACATCTTAGAAAAAGTACAATACCAGATTTTTCTGCCAACAGAAAATTGAAAAATATATGATCGAAAACAGACGTGGGGCTGTCTGGTAAGGCGTTAGTAATAAGTTATGAAAGGTGGGACTATCAAGATTAAAAGAAAAAAAATCATCCTCTGTGCGTAATGAAAGGTCAACATTACTAACCTTGTAACAGACTATGGTGTCATCCGGGTACATAGCAAATAGTTTAGTTCCAAGGCGTGCATGGCAAGAATCACAAAGGCTTTCATCATTGATCTGCACATGCCTTGACTTTTCCTCCAATATTGCTAAACTTGCATCTGTATCTAAAGCACGTGACAGATTGTGCACAATCTGAAAAGCAATTAATGTATTGGCTCAAGATAAGGAATGAAAAGCACGAAACATGGAGATGCTACGTGCAAGCAACTTAAGAAAAAATAGATTCACTAATTTACTTATGATATGGAGAACATAGCTCAATACCCACCCAAACAAACAAAAAAAAAAAAAAAAAAAAAAAACCAATGAATGAATATTTCACGATCTTAAGGAAGAATGACAAAAATCTGATATGGAGAACATAGCTCAATACCCACGAAAATAAAAAATAAAAAATAAAAAATAAAAAAAATAAACCAATGAATGAATATTTCACGATCTTAAGGAAGAATGACAAAAATCTCAAACACAGAACTTACCCTTCCTTGACGGTGATGATGAAGTCGAGCTCTCAACATTCTTAATATAGTCTCAGAAGCAAGTTGAAGAGGCATATCTGGGGACAATCTCTGCAACATCAAACCAGAATTTTGCACAGAAAATGAGAAACATCTTAAGACTCTTGAGTCCCCAAAATTAGAATCTTGCTAATAATGTAGAAGTAACCAAACAAAAATGTATGTGCAATTGTGCAAACTTCAGTTTTCTCCGCTCCCCACCAATTTCCCAGAAATCTCTGTGAGAGAGAGAGAGAGAGAGAGAGAGAGAGAGAGAGAGAGTCTGATACCTCTAAAACTTGCAAAGGATCTAATGATTCCCCATGATTGTGGAGTAGGCGAACAGCAGCTTTAAACATAGGCTCCTTACCATCTTGAGGATCCAAATACATATCAAGTAACCTGAGTTCTCACAGCACAAACAAAAGGGAAAATTGAGAAGCAATTTTAAATACATCATAGGCATAGTTTGCATGTGTGTTTATGGGTGTTTTGTGTGCTTGTGAATGTGGAGAGAGAGAGAGAGAACCAACTGCATATAGACATCAGGTCTCCCAATCTCAGCACAATATTGCTCAGCAGCTTCACTGTTTTCCAGCTTCCTAAAAAGTGACTGTATGTTAGTTCACACGAAACTTAAAAAGCAATGTTACCCTAAGTTAGACCATAGGCCAACACTTCTCAACTTACTATGAAACCCCATAACTGAAGCATATTCGACACCGCATAATGTAAAAAGATATAATTGGGGGGTGGGGGGTGGGGGGTGGGGGGTGGGGGGTGGGGGATGGGGCTGGGGAAGGGAAACCCCCAAAGCTCAGTTACTTAAATACTATGTGGAACAATTTCTTTACCTAAACCCCATACCATAAGATTTTACTGCTACTACTAGTCATAAACCTTATGTGATGCAAAAAATTGCTGAACACGTAACTTTTTTGAAACTTCACAAAATAAGATAGGTGTAAAAATTTAAGAAATGCACAAAAGAAACCCCATTGTCAAGATAATACTGAAATTTATCATTCTCAGGAAAACAAAATTGGGGAACCACATCGAAGCAACCATGAACTTGTGCCGCATTAATTATAAATGATACCCAGATGAAGTAGCAACTAATGTATTGTTGCAGATTTTTCAGAAAGCAAGATGAAACTTACAGGGCTAAAATTTGGAGCACCAATGCCTCTTGCCCTAGTTTCTTGTAAAGAATAGCCTGTTAAATAAATCGAAATTCAGAAAGTAGCAGTAGCAGTATCAATGTCTATAATTGGCCCAACAGCTAATGACCACAACTTAATAATTAACTTGTCCAATGGCACATTGTAAATAATTCGTGTATTCAGGTAGCCAGGGTTCAAAAGCAAAATTCAAGACAAGGTCCATAAATGGTTATGACAAACCTTCTCCGACCACAATTCTGATCCCTCAATTAAGTCTAGAACCTCCTCTGGGTCATACAAGTCTGAAGACTCTAAAAACATCTGCAGTCTTTCCCGAACAGAACTTTGAAATATCAAACTTGTTCTATCATCAGAAATGTTTGTCTCTTCTATCCTTCCAGGACCAAGGTTTTGCGAGGCAATATCTGCTTGAAATGCTTCAATTGCTGACTTGGCAAGTGAAAGAGCATATAATGTGTGGAACTGACTGTCACTGTATTCTTGGTCTTCAATCAACCACTGAAGGTACCTGTGCACATAAAGAGGTAGAACCCAATTCTATACATTGAAGGTCACATCACATAAGAAAGAAACTTCTGTTTTTCTTTCTGATAAGTAATAAGTACATAACACAGTAAAGGCAACCAAGGAAAAATTAAATATTGCAAATGCGTTTGACAAAACAAATGGCTGGAACAGTAAGATAATAAGAATAGCACTTTAACGAAAACACAGGTGGTTAGCTTGGTTGCATTGTAAACTTATAATGGTACGGTTGGTTAAATAAATGGCTACATTCTATACCTTTCTACCTTTCTGAAAAGTCTCAAGAAAAGGCTGTACCGTGGTCTATGTAATTGACATACCTTTGAAAATCTCTACCTTCTTTGGATCAATAGCTGCAATAACTTCATCTGCAGTAAAAGAGAATTTCTCAAGTAAATTAAAACTTTTATATGCATTATTGATAACCATTTATTAGCTTTCATGCCATACAGATAGCAGCATAACACACACACTAATATAAAAGGCTTGTATTTTTTAAGAAGTAACAAAATACAAAAGGCTGATACAGCTAAATAAAGTTTGAATTGTTTAGATGCCCTACTTCAAAGGGATTTTCCAAATGAATGCCTAGATGCATGCTTGGGGTCAGAGGCAGAGCTACTAAGGGACCAGAATAGTCCTGGGCCCATCCTGCCTTTTTTCTTGCTACAATAACATATTGTTGTTGCTGCGCCTTATCAGTGTAATACCATTAAATTCAAGTGTGCCCCTTCTTAATCTAAACTCTATTTTCCTTTTACATGCCTCGTTTTTCACTCCATCTCTCTTATTTCAGTGCAGACTTCCCTTCCCCTCCTTTTGCTATCAACTTTTCTTTGTCATTTCTTTAGTCCTTCTGTTATATTTTCAAATCTTTCATGCTTAACTCTTACTTCGTATTCAAGTGTTTGAGTTTGCACAATGTTTTTAGTTCTCTGTACTGAATTTGATTGGTTTTCCAAATGTGCAATTTACTACAACTTTTCATGTTGGGAGGCCCCTCCCTCCTCACATGAAATTCTGGCTCCGCCACTGCTTGGGGTAGCTAACCAATGG